CCGTCTGGTCCTAATAAGCCGTCCTGGTCTAATAGGACCTGGAAATGCTGAACGGCGGGGTAGTCGCGAGCAGTGAGTCTGGTGACCTCGAGTTTCGGTTCACTCTCGACATGACTATATCCGTCTAAAAGCTCTCCGATTGATATCTCACCGGGAAAGACATCGGCTGGATCTACAACATGAGCCATTGATTACCGAGAGGGACGATCGATCACGTACCTTCAGCGCGTCCCAGAAGCACCGTCAAATAGTTTGGTGTTGATGTGTTTTGCAGAAATATACGGTCCAGCACCGCGTAATCCGGCTGAGGTATTCAATGTATTGTAGATGTTGGACCCGGATGTCGGTACCAAGGCCTATCAGTCCTATTCCTTCCTCATGGTCATCGTCTGGCGTGACTTCCACTGTACTTCTGGGTAAAAAAATTTCAATCGTAGGAAATAACATGACATACTGAATGCTTGATCCCGTACGGTGTATCTGGCAAATTCAAGAGTTGAAGTTTTTATGGGCCCTGGTAGCAGTAAGGACGGGGACTTGGACTACTGAACAGGTGATACTCGCCTTTCGCTTCACCAATACCATAGATGAGCTCAGAGTTCGCCCCAGTGTCGACACTATCCGTAATACTACCTGCAACCCACAAGTCTGAACTAAGACAGCCATGAGTACGGAGAAAAGGTACTATAGGGGTAGTAACCTACCTCCCGGTATCGACAAGCACTGAAAAGACTTCCCCACCAAGCGTCAAGTTCGTATAATAGCGTAAATCCGCAATATTGATCAAGGTAGAGGTCCCATTGATGTTTCCCCGTCGTAGGAGTTCATGTCGAGTTTGAACATCGTGTCGGCCTTCAATCTTCAGTTGCAATCCAGAGGAGTAGGCAGCAAGGCATAACAAGGCAAGAACGCCGTAGTGGCCATAGTGATGAGGAGACGAGGATGATAGTCGCTTGTTTTTATCCTCCTGGTGTCCCTATAAACATTCTGATGAAACGACAAGAAGTAAAGTAGAGGAAATGGCAGTGCGTGGCAACGTTGCGAAAAGAAATAGGATATAAACCAGAAGGACACAGAAGAAGTCACCAGGCAGTGTAGTGAAGCGGGAGTTACAAGCGGCTGTACATCAGCATCATGCCCCACAATAACTTCCGACGTTCAACTTTTTGACGCTTGCTATAGAGGAAGTCGCCTGCTCAGGAGGTAAAGAACGAAAGAGCAGTTAAACAAGTTATGTTTCCCTTTTTTCCCTCGTCTTTTCTGTAAATAACGTAGTCGTGTGAAATCACTACGCCATTTAGCATCGCAAAAACGGTAATGGAATTATGCACTAGAATTCTACCTTTCGTAGAGCCGCTGGGTGGAATAGCACAGCAATCATGATGAGTACTAGTGGCACAGTTCTGAATGGTCAGATGGTCAGCGTCCCGCGTTCATGCTTCTTCGCCCATAAAAATGAGTGTTGGAGGTTACCATAGGTTTTCATCCATGATATTAGAGAGACAAGAATACACGCTTGGTTTCGAAGCGAGCTAAAGGAAGATGATGGTGAGTGGAAGACCTATACTTAGTAACCGATCGTCTCGATGATCGTGCTCTTGGCGCTCTGGTGCAACAATTAGGGATGTCCACCATACCCGTACACGAGTACTTAACGCGTACGGGCGACCCGTAACCGTACCGTAATGGTCTTTTTTTGAACGCTCGACGGTATAGTACGGCCGTAAAACGGTGATACGGGCGATACTGCCAACGCCCTACCCAGTTGTGGTATAAATTGTACCGGGTGAGGTGTAAGGAATGGAAAATTCCTTGGAACAGTACTCCCACACTGATCACCTTTCAAAGCAACCTCAACTACTGTGAAACCTTCTAAATGCCAGTGGGGCGGTGAGACTTTCGCACCTCCTCTCGAGGTAGCCTCCAAGCTTTATGAAAACATTGAAGCAGCGGAGGGAATAAATAGAGATCACACCCAGATGTACTGGGCTGGAAACCATTGGTTTCGACGCTGATGGTCATTATTCGACGGTTGGTCCTATCCGGATCATGGTGGAGAAAGAACTGCAACATTCTGTAGTTTCCTCGTTTTCCATGCCTCCATATTGACGTCCGAGATATCTCCGTTTTTAATGCTATCCATCTCCACCTGGTTAATAAACAGGATATAAACAGATAAAAAATTAGGCCGTTCAGATGGGTGGTAAGATTGCATAGCATATATAAGGTCCGTAAGGCATTATTTGATGAGATCCTCGTATTGCGTCGACGGCACACGTAGCAGTTCAAAGATGCAGATAAGCAAGTATTAATAAATTACAAACTTAGCGCTAGCGGTCCGTACCCAACTCATATCCCTTACACATTACTTGCCGCTCAAGCTAGCAGCGACGAAATCGGAATGCGCTGCGATGCATTAGAATTCATCGGTAAATGATAGACCGCGAAACTTGCCTTCAATAGGGTCAGTCGTAGATAGGAATTGAAGGTAAGGATCTCCACGATTGCTTGTATCATTTCCACCAGCTACGAAGTCTCCAAAGTTGAAGGCGGCGTAAACATTGCGAACTATGATACTGACTTTCAGTACCAAGCATGCATAACTAGCGCATTACTCACGGAACGACATTCCAAGAATCATATCATACGTTTTCCCTGACGCCGAAGAACTGATTGGTTGAAACTATTGATATATAACATCAAGGACGGTAAAATGCTTGAGAGCAGTTTGTACGTACCGAGCCTATGCACAACGGTTGATTTTTTGAATTCACAAGGCCGGTGTATCCTAATATAGATGGATCCCTAGAAAGTTAGCCGCGTACTGACAGAGAGAACAAGAAACCATACATCGTAGCGCCCAGGGGATGTATATGGATGCTATTACCGCCGAACTTGAATATAATGTTTATTTCTGCGCCACAAGGTACAATCCAGAATTCGCCGTTTTCTGCTGTAGTAAGGTACTCAGCGCCAAAGAAGCGACTGTATATTGCATCCGCAACAGTTCTGATTCAGCAGATAAATTTACCAGACTTTCCCTTGAAGATAGACCATATTCACGTACCGGGGTACTTGGCTCAACGAAAAACCACAGTCTATGACGACAGTAGCCTGTTTTGAATTCGATGACCTATCCACCTTGGTGGTGATAGATACTGGCTGTCCGTCTAGTCCTAGTAAGCCATCCTGGTCTAATAGGACCTGGAAATGCTGAACAGCGGTGTAGTCGTTGACAGGGACTTTGGTGACCTCTAGTCTCGGTTGACTCTCGACATGACTATAACCGTCTAAAAGCTCTCCGATTAATATCTCACCGGAAACGACCTCGGCAGGATCTACGCCAATATGAGTCATTGATTAGCAAGAAGGACGATCAATCACGTACCTTCGGTACGTCCCAGAAGCACCGTCAGGTAGTTTGGGGTTGATGTGTTTTGCAGAAATATACGGTCCAGCACCGCGAATCCGGCTGAGGTATTCAATGTATTGTAGATGTTGGACCCGGATGTCGGTCCAAGGCCTATCACTCCTTTTCCTTTCTTGTTGTCAGTGTCGGGCGTGACTTCCACTATACTTCTGGGTAAGAAAATTTCAATCGTAGGAAATAGCATGACATACTGAACGCTTGATCCCGTACGGTGTATCTAGAAAATTCAAGAGTTGAAGTTTTTATGGGCCCTGGTAGCAGTAAGAACGGAGACTTGGACTAACGAACAGGTGATACTCGCCTTTCGCTCCACCAATAGCATATGTGACCCCAGAAGTCGCGCCAGTGTCGATGCTATCCATAACACTGCCTGCAACCTACAAGTCTGCACTAAGACGACAATGAGTACAGAGAGAACGTCCTACAAAGGTAGTAACCTACCTTCCAGTATCGACAAGCGCTGAAAAGACTTCCCTACCAAGTTTCAATGTCGTACAATAGTTCATATCTGCAGTATCGCTCAAGGCAGAGGTCCCGGTAATGTTTCCTCGTCGTAGGAGTTCATGTCGAGTATTAAGATTGCGTCGGCCTTCAATCTTCAGTTCCAATCCAGAGGAGTAGGCAGTAAGGTACAGAAAGGTCAAGAACGCCGTCGTAGTAGCTATGGTCGTAGTAGAGAGACGTGGATACTCGTCGCTTGGCCTTATCCTCCTGATGCCGCCATTATAAACCCCGGAAAGCAAAGTAAAGGAAAATGGTAGTGCGCGGAAAGACATGATACACTTGCGGGAATGATGACAGATATGAACCAGAAGGATACGGACGAGGTCAGCGGGCACTGTAGCAGCGAAGCGGGAGCTGCAAGCGGCTGTACTTCGACACCACCTCCCAAGACAACTTCCGATACCTAACCTGACGCCCACCGGTGAAAGCGCTCGCCCTAGAGGGAGCCGCTTGATCACGAGATGGGGAAGGAAAGGGTAGTTAGACAAATTATGTTTCTCTTTTTTCATCTTTTCCGTATGAAGCAGGGTGATATGAAGACACGACACCATTTAGCACCACAAAAAGAGTAATAGAATTATGCACGAGAAATCTACCTTTCGTAGAGCTGCAAAGTAGAATAGCATAGCAATGAGTAGTGGCACTGTCCTAAACAGTCGTAGCATACCTGCCGGATGCCTCAGTGTCTTCGCCCATAACGACACGTTTTCGCCAATATAGATCTTCATGTTGGAGTATGCTGTTCAGCTCAGATAAGCGGGACTCCGGGATTAGCAGGGAACCCTCGCAAACGCGCGAGGGGCTCCATTACAAGGTATCCTACTTTATATACTAATGCTAAATTTAGAAAATATACTACGGAAAGGAGGGGTGGCCGTCGGAAGCGCGGCGCATTTGGTATTTCAACACTTCACCGTCATCAGCTAGGGTGGTAAAGAGACAAGAATAGGCGTTTGATTTCACTGCCCTGGTATTTTTATAAAAAATTCAGCGGGAGCGAACTAAAGGAAAATGGCGGTGCAAGACTGAGACCTATCCTTAGCAATAGTCTATTGTTTAACGCGGGGGGGTTGCCGTTCAAGGGCGTTATGACAAAGCCTTACATAATTTGATGGCAGTCAATTTTGAGTAACCGTGCACTTCCCTTCCTTCCGCTCGTATCTGGCACGCCAGGCGCGTCCGTTTGTCCCTTCGCTCACTACCAGAGCCATTCATGGCATCTTCTTATCGTTGGCAACACCCTCATGGTCTGGAAATACTTCAAGGCATTGTCAAAAGGCTTGTTCCGTCGTGGAAAGATGGACTCACTGACATCCAAGCACTGGCTGTTTCCCGGATTCTCGGTGGCGAAGACGTCCTGCTGTGCACCGCAACTGGTAGTGGAAAATCAGCTTCGTTTGCTATTCCGATTCTTGTACACCAAGAGCTCTCCCGAAATCCAACAGCCTATCCCAGATTTCGCTGTCGGAAACTTCCTGTAGGCATTGTGGTGACTCCGACGAATGGTTTAGCGGCAAATATTGTATGCATCCTGTCTCCTCTACCTATTAGTATCTCTTTAGTAATGATGATAGGTATCTGGACTGAAGGACTTCGGGATCAATGGCCTGGCTTATACCCATGAGACTCTGACAGAAACTCGCAAAGCTGGACTAGCCAACTGCTCAATACCAAAATTCTTCAAATCATCCCAGGTAATGAGGTGTGATTTCTTTGAGCGCTCGTTGGCTGAGGCTGCCAGCCGAACATGAAAATCAGGGTCAAGAGGATTGTTTTGAGTGAGTCGGCCAACCGCATTGTGAAGGTGGTTTCCGACAAGTTGGGTCGCCCAGCATGATAAGGCTGGTCGACAATGGCGAATATTAAAGGGATCATGAGTTCCAGAGTAGGACAGGTCACGTTCTGATCGATACTGGGACCGGAATGAAGGATTTGCTATACCGATGATTGTACATCAGAGTTACGACATGGATTGGCTTTTGCGAGGTTGCCCACTGAGAAAACGGGGTGCCATGCGACGGTGGAGATTTGAGCGGTTATCCTCGTCGCTACGTCTAGGAAAGTCCTTTAAGAATTCACAAGCAAAGTGCCCAAATGAATCGTAAAGTCGATTGATAGCTTCAAGCACTTCTTCCATCTTTTCATTAGGGCTACGCTTTTCCGAGCGAATACGAGGTTGTGAATGTTGAAAGGGTGACTGTAGAGGTATGCTTGTTGAGGGAACGAACCCAGGAAGTCGGTACTTTTCTGCGATGGCAGGATCAATGGGCGGAGGTATGGTTGGAATAGGAAGGGGTGGAGCAGCTCGACGATAAGGTCGGGGTGCCGATTGAGGTGTAGGAAGTGAAGGCGCCGAGTATAATGGAGCATTTTCGACACCATCGATGATATTTCTAAGGTATTCGGGTGATGAACGATTAAGTGGGGGCGGAATGACAGGAATGGGGGGGCGGGGGGCCTTTTCTAGACCATTTACGAGTGGTGGCAGACTCTTGAGGAGTCGTTTGATCCATCGATTAGGTATTCCGAGCTATTGACGCGTGAAAAATAGTGTTGGAGGCTCAAAGCAGATACCGGACGCGTCGTGGTGCAAGTAATTAACGAAATAGGTGTGATCACGTGCCATCAGATTTGTAATAACTGAGTTGAACGGTGGATGGCCTATTTAAGCAACAGACTCCATACACTCACTACAACCTCACCCCCACCGTAGTCGTGTATGTTGCGTCTGTCTACGAGAGACTACCTTAGCAACCGATCGTCTTGATCGTGCAATCAATGGTCCGATCGATGATCCATGTTGACCGCCGTTAGAGGCAATGCAAGGAGCATACTCTCGAATACAGGAAAATAGTATTTCTCTAGCGACTCGAAGAGATTGATATATTGAAGTGGGCGTCTCTGTTCGACAGGGTAGGAGCGGGTATCGCTCTGTTAATATGGTGACGGTATTCCCATTTTTAGCGCTACCACTTGCACAACCTGATTAATGAATTGGATATGTATCTGCCAAAATAAATCGATTTAGACCGTTTAGATGAATAGTAAGATTACAAAGTATGTAATTACAAGGTCCATAAGGTATGATCATCTAGAAGTACTTGTCCCAGAATCCGACTGTACCATTTGTGTGCGCCGCATGCTGTTCGATTCCCAACAACTTCATAACGAGGTTGTATACTTCTACATTCTGGAATGTGTTCATGACATAGGTGTCATCGGAGGTGGAGTGCCAACCCTTGTTGGGCCTGGATAAGAAACGAGCTGAGAGTGACCGGCCGTGATGCAACGCCTTCACAACAGCAGAGAAAGGGCCGTGCGCGACGAACATGGCGTGCATGGATGGTTCCTTGTTGTCGTATCCGTGGTTCTGAGAGACCAATTAGGTCGCGAAGCATCGACAAGTTAAATTACATACGCCTTTGGACATGCCGGTGTTACCCTCTGCCTTGGTTGTCAAAGAATATCCAATCTTGGGAACCACATATATAGGCGCAATTCTATCATTGTTGGCAAATGATACCTCTCTGGCATCGTTTCATGAGTGTAGACATCGAATTTCTCTGGATTTTCATCTGATGCCTTGAGGAGAAGCTCGAGATAGTGTGATGCATTGGCTTCCGGGTAAAACCTCAGTCCCATAGAGGGCCACCCGTCTTCATGTTGAATCATGGTAAGGCCCTCTTCGCCAATGATGTTGTCCATGTACACCAGCTCGGGGTGACTGGTGTCCGTCATCCCATGGTCGCTGACGAAGACGATGTCGACAATGTCAGTAAGATTACGTTGTTCAAGAGCAGTATGCAAGTCTTTTGCAAACGTATCCACTTGACCAAGGGTTTTCTGCCAAAGATCAGCAGCTAGAAAACATTGGATCGGGCGACTTACATTGACTGCTGCGGACATAGGTCCCGTTGCATGGCCGGCTTGGTCCAATGACGGTTCGTACCCTGGTTGGTTTGAGCACAAGGTAATGAGATAAAGAACAAACGTAATACCCATAATCAACTGAGGTCGTTCTTCGAAAGGAAGATCTATCCAAGCTAAGAGCTGTTCAAGCTTTTCAGCAAGAGGGACTCTATCCTGTGTATCGATGAGTTCGGGTATGAAGTAACAATAACGATGTGTTTACCCTCCAAGGAATAAAGTAGGTAGGAACGGCTCCAGAACTCGTCTTGGGCGGGCCCGGCCTAACACCATTGAACATGAAATCATAATCCGAACTCGTAGTCCCTTACCACATCAGATTTGCTGTGATGATTCCTGCCTTTCCAGCAGATTCCCACATCTACGACACAAATTCAGGCTTTCTGTAATACCAAGAGACTAGCAAGCTTACCGGTTCTCCAAACCACCAATCTGGTTTCCAAGACGATGCTTCCTGGTTGTATGGAACTCTTCATTACTTGCCGGATCCCAAAAATTCTTGTGTCACAATCAGCTATGGAAACGAATCCGCGAGTGAGGATACGTACTTAGCTACTATGCCGTGGGATCGGCCGTATAGACCAGTCCTAGGCTGCGGTCAGAGGGATAACGCGACCCTGCATTCGATGGTACCCCACCATCAAAGCCCACATGATTGCTGAAGACGAGGTCAGATATTTTTGGGTGCAGAGGAGCGTATTTGTAACTCCCGGGAACGTCAAATCTGTTCGGGTTAAGCACGGCAATTAGAGAAAGGCTATTTATCCAACGAATAGGAGGTTACCGGAAAAATCGGCTTCATGGCCTTGGCTCGCTCGTCCCTTCTTACTGATATCAAGGAGAATGAGGTGTCAGCCCTACGGTCGAGGTAGTCCGCCCTAATTCAAGCTTGTGAGTATCAGTTGGAGTCATACTACTACTGCCAAACGTACCGTAAGCCGTCTATAGATATAATGAGC